TGTAATTCCAGCTATTCGGGAGGCTGAGGCAGGAGAATTGCCTGAACCCAGGAGGCGGAGGTTGCGGTGAGCCGAGATCGCGCCATTGCACTCCAGCCTGGGTAACAAGAGCGAAACTCCGTCTCAGAAAAAAAAAAAAAAAAGCTGATAAAGCCATCAGTCTAATATAAGCCATCAGAATTAATATCCAGTCCTCCCTTTTATTCTGTGTAAATCCTGCGTACATAGAGTTGCTTAAAGCCCATTTTGGAACAGAGATGTCAAGAAACAACAATAACAGCAACATCGATTGTAACACATGTCGTGTCGCTAATTTACTTAGATATGCTGATTTACTGTGTACCGACAAATCCACCAGGCATTTTACAAGCACCATCTCAGGGAGGACATCACAGCTACGTTTTACAAACAAGGAATTAATAATTTGACTCAGACCACAAGGTAAGGGATGGATGAGTTAAGAGGCAGGGAAAGAAAGAGGGGAGGTGAAAAAAAAAAAGGGAGACAAAGAAGTGTGATGTCCTGTAAAATCCATTTGTTAGACCTTCTCCCAGTATTCTTTCTCCCAAACACCCTGTGTAGTATTAAATATCTGAAATCCTTCAATATTCCAGATAATTGATGCCTTTCTTTGTCATAGCATAATATTAGTTTTTCAGCCTTTCTTTCATAGCAACTGTGCCTTAGTAAAACTAAAATGTTCTTTATGAGTAAATTCAACTATGAAAATAAGCACTTGCCTATATGTTCTAGTAATACATGGCTTGGAGTACTCTAATCCCAGCTACAGTGTTTAGAATTGCAGAGGCCTCAAGGCAAGATGTGAAATATCCCTCTGCCAAGTCTTCTCAACCACATAGTGAGGAAAATGAACCTGCCTCTCAGGATTGGTATGAAGAATCGCTTATAAAAATGAGTGCGAAACCCTTTGCAAATACCAAATGCTGTATGAATGTTAAGTAATAATAAAGATCTGTATAAATGCAGTTAAGCAGCCCAACCTCCAGGTGCTTTTTCAAACTGGACACCAACCATTTAAGAGTCATCCATCATTCACTTTCGGGCATCCTTTTCTTTGTAAAAAAGTAAAATAGGCTGTCTGCATTGCAAGGAAATGGAAAAATTGAATTTCAAAGCATATAAGTCCCTATACCTTGATCATTCAAAGTAATGGGTTCTGTTATTAAGTTAATGAAGATAATGCTCATGAAGTAATAAAGGGGCAAAAATATCAATTACCACGATGGCTTTGTTTTTGTCTCAGAAAGCACAGGATTCTAGCTGCAAGTAGATTTTGAAGACATGAATACATGTGGTACACAGCCACTATCACAGCGTAGGCATATTCACTGTGTCTATCCCTAACTCCTCTAAGAACTCACTTGTCAGTAATCCCCAAGTATTGTCTGTCTCTATGTTGGAGAACAAGGAGGGGGTGAAATAGAATGATCATGAGCAACATGACAATGATGATTGTCATCCTGCAGTCCCTTGCAGCAAGAGGGATAGAAAAAGACAGACAGAAAGAAAAAACGCTTCTCCAGCAAACCATTTCCTCCAAAGACATGATTCACTAACATTTGATTTGACAAGTTGTAGGCACTCCTAACATTATTTTTTTCCCCTTTACTGTTCATTTGGGGAGCAAAGATTTATTGCCTCTCCTGAGAAGGACAAGGGATGCACTAGAAATAAGAATCAATAAGGTTTTTCTTTTTTTCATTGCCCATCTTTATAAGAGAACCACTTCTTGACTAGGTTCTTAATTCTTTTTTATTCGAAAATACAGTGAATCTTTTTCTATAATATTAAATAAAATTTGAAAATAGAAGCAAACAGTAGTCAAGTTGTGGGGCAATGAGAGGTGATCTATTTGAAAGTCAAATACTCTCCCCATGTGAAGTTTCCTTGCCACACAGAGTCAATAGCCTCGGTCACTGAACTGCCCTCCTCTTTAAATGTAGTGCGCATAAATCTGCCACACATATGAGCCGTATTGTATATGGGTTTGCCCTGAATATACACTAAAAAAAAACTATGCAAGATTTCATTCATAAAATGCCAAGCAATTATTGTTTAATAAAACAAAGAGAAAAAGTGATGGTCCTAGTCCATGCAAATTTTGCTAGGTATATAATAAAGTGCTTTATGAAACAAGAATAAGCCAGGAAAGCTGGCACTGAGCTGCATTGAGTTTCATTCCTGAGTGCAAAAAAAAAGCATAGGATTTGGATCCTCTATGGTGGTGAGTAAGTGGGTCTAAAGAGAAAACCAAAGAGGAACAAGTAAAGTTTGTTCCATGTACAACATATGATACTAATTTTTATCAGTGTTATCATGTTTTATCACTGTTAATACATGTCTAACCTCCTGATATATGCATATCATATGCATATACACTCTTTCAAAGCAGCCTTAGCTCTAGCTGTTGAAATGGCAGACAGCCTCTCAGCATTTCCATTATAAAACCTGATTTTCAGGGATTTATAACTAAACTGAAGATTTCCTTCAGAGTGAGGCAAGAATCACTGGATCTCAGCTCAGAGCACAATTTTGCTTTCAGTTTTCTGAGTAGTTTGGTTTGGTCATTATCAAGTTATGGAAACGCAAAAATAAATAAATCAAAGTTTATAGGAATCTGGGGTTTTCCCTCTATTTTTTTTAACCCCCAGTAAAGCTTTCAAATAGCTTGGTTATCTGAAAAGGCACTTAGTCCAAAATATGGATTTCTTTCTTAAAATGGCTGCAACTTTGACATTTAAAGATTGGTTATTACACATGCACAGAAGCTGCTTCCCCAAAAGATACTCAGCAGTATTGTGCAATATGGTATGTATCATGCATACTTAATGCCCTCTTGCCAAGTGATCCTCTCCTATTGCTGGACTGAGGAAATGGCTTTTAACAGGAATGACAAATATATTACCAACTCCATTATTGCTTTATCATATTGCACTCATTAAAGATTGCTTGAAGAGTGGCATAGATTGTGCAAAAATTACTTAATTTAATGCATCATTCTAAAAGTAATTATTTACTTCCAAATTAATAGTGGCTGAAAGACCTTAAATCCCTTGCCACTGAAGACTTCTAGAAAACATTATGGTGATTCTTTACAGGGTCCAGAGACATAAAAGAAAATAATTAACAACAGGATAATGCTTAGCTGGCATTCACAGAATGCACCATTACAGTGTCAGACAAATTTGCAATAATATCCCACATGCTCCAAAATGTATTTCCAAACACACAGATTTCAATCAAGTCTAGATTCACTTGAAACAAAATAAAGATTAATTCACTGTGACTCTTAGATGCATAGTATTTCTTCCCCTTGATGAAATACTTATGTAATACACTTGTAAAAAGACATATTTATAAGATGTATATAGAAGGTGTGGTCACAAAGCTTTTTGCACAGTCACTTGGATATCATCACTATAACAAATCCACATTCTTTTGGGAGAAAACTTATTTGACACAAAGACATTATCAGACAAAACTTGTGAGTGGGGCTGACATACAAGTTTTGGTTTGAATATAGACTGATGAGATGGGGTGTTTCTCTCTCTCTCTCTTTTTTCCCCCCTGTGCCCCTGAAGCCCAAGCTGAAGGCATTATAAATGAGGAAAATAGAAAAAATGTTTGCTGCAATGGAAGCATGATTGAAACATATGACAGTTTTTGACTCATGCAGCAAATATTCATTACATGCCTACTGCAGACCAGACACTGAGCTCAGAACTGTAATCACAAAGTTACTAGTTATGTTCTCAAAATTCTTATGGTCTAAAATGAACAGAACAAATTTTGACATTTTAAAGTTAGTATTCAGCCTTAATCATATGTATTGCTAGCTATTAAAATATGCTCATAAAAGTATAAAAGTCAAAGTCAAATAAAAGGCATTTAAGTTCTTGTCTCAACAAAAAACTGAATAATATTTTGGGATGGTGGGGGACACATGAAAAAAAGTGCTTGTAGTCATCAGTCAAAAATCAGTCAAGACACCTCATGTTGTTTTCAGCTTTTTGAACTTTTTAGAAAAAAAAAATACACCCTCAAGAATCTTTTCCACTGCTTGACCACAACATAATTGAGAAAATCGACATATCATTCTGAAGATTTTTCTGGTTTCAATGAATTTTTGCATGCATTTCCTTATTTAATATTCATAGTAAATCTGAAATAGGCAGGGTATGTGTGTCTATTCTTACCTTTTAGATAAACAAACTAAAATTTGGAAAGGTTAACCACACAGTTAGAAAGTGACCTTTTCAAGACCAATCAGGAAGATAGAAACAATAAGAAATGCTAACAAGGAGCCTTTACATGCAAATATTTCTAAAGTTTAGATTGTCAATAAATCTTTTAAACATTCCAACAAATCTATATTTTGGTTTCTTCTCCTAGATAGCTGAGGCTGTTGTTTACCTATCACAATGACATCTGCCAAAACATGCTACTGCCAATATTGCTGATGATCTTAGATACTAGTAGAGAAGTAATTAGTTTAACTTCAGCGTAAAGACTGCTTAGGCATTACAACAAAAAAATACAGATCAGCTTTGCTGCCATCTGACTTTTTCTGCCATCAAAGTAAATAAAGACCAAGATATTTGCTGTTGAGGAAGAAGGAGTGTTTCAGTGTTTGCATCACCCAGAGAGTCTATCTACCCAGGAATTAAAAATCCTGATGATAATGTGTCAAATCTCCATTTTACTCTGCCTGTGTATGCATCACCAAATTGTGCAGCACAATATAATTGACACAATGAGTAGGCAGTTGAATTAAAATAATGAAAACTAACCATTTGCCTCTGACTTTTCTTGGTTTTGCTCTCTGATCTGTAAGTATAAAGGCAGAGCAGTTATCTCTTTAGGAAGGACACTTAACTGTCTTATGCATTTAACACAGAGAAACAGCATGTGCACACTATATACCAAGAGAGTGGTTTATAGTAGAGAATGCGGAGCATTGAAGAGAATGTAAGACTTACAGGCAAATCCTGGACTCTAGTCTTCCTTCTACCACTTGCTGTATGACCTTCATCAAATCACCTCTCAGCCTTAGTTTCCCTATGGGAGGGAACAAAATGTAAATAATAATAGCATCCCAATGTTTCACAAGCACAACAAAAGTGAAAGCCCTTTGTAAACCATGCAAAGGACTGTACATATGTGAAGTATCATTTTAAAGGTATTATTATTATTATTTTCGTGACCACTGGGAATTTTTTTATTTTAAATGTAGGTTTTTAAATGCCTGAGAAAATGGGGCAGTCACAGAACAATGACTTTAAACAAACTTTATTTGGGCGCATGACTGACTGGCAATTGTGTGCAATCATTTTAGCTGTCACAGGCCCAGAGAAATGTGGGAGAGCTCTTCCATGAAATGTTTATATTTCATAAACAAAATGATGTGCTTAACAGAGTGATGGGAGGGTTCCGGCTAATGCATTTTCCAATGTGTGAGGCAGATTATTAATGCGCTCCAGTAGCTGTTAATTTCAGTTTGCCGGAATGATTTATGGGGAGGTAAAGGAGAGAGACATAATCTAATTGAGATCAGAATCACTGTTCTAGCAGCAAAGCACCAACATGGACCCTAGGCACGGCAGAATAATTAATATCTAATAAGCAAATAATCCGTTAAATTATTATAAACATTACTTTTGACAACTCTTTTGTCGGCAAATGAAAGAGGGAAAAAAGAAACAAAAGATGTAAAAATCACTACTTTCTCTAATAATATTGTAAAAGCAGATTTTGATAGAGCAAGGGCGATGACTATCATGATGGGCTTGAGTATTATGATCAATTCTGAGTACACCATGAGGCCATTTTTGCCATAATATAAATGACAATTGAATGCCTGAAGCAAGATCACTATTCAGACACAAAATTAAACAACATCCTTTCTCAAAGTATCACTTCTCTCACTTTACCTTATCATCACCCTGCTAGTAAGTAGACTAGTCCTTGCCACATGAAGGTAATCAGATGTAGAGCCTAAAAGGGAGAGAGAGATGAACAGCCCCTCTATATAAACTCCTTTTCATTTTTTCTGTTTTATATATTTTTAATGTGATAAAATACACATAAATTACCATTGCAGTTCTTTTAAGTGTACAGTGGTGTTGAGTATTCGCATTGTTGTGTAACCATCACTAACATCTACCTCCAAAACTTTTTGCCTTTCCAAACTGAAACTCTGTACCCATTAAACAATAACTCCCCATTCACCACCTTCTAACCCCAGGCACCCATCTTTCCCCTTCCCCGCTACTCCTCGCCCCACCGCCCCGAGGCGGAGTCTTGCTCTGTCACCCAGGCTGAAGTGCAGTGCTGTCATCTCGGCTCACTGCAACCTCCGCCTCCCGGGTTGAAGCGATTCTCCCGCCTCAGCCTCTAGAGTAGCTAGAGTTACAGGCACACGCCACCATGCCGGACTAACTTTTGTATTCTTAGTAGAGACGGGGTTTCACCGTGTTGGCCAGGCTGATCTTGAACTGACCTCATGACCTGCCCACCTCAGCCTCCTAAAATGCTGGGATTACAGACGTGAGCCACCGCATCTGGCCTACCCATCTTCTATTTTGTTTCTGTGAATTTCATTCCTCTAAGTGAGTCATATAAGTGGAATCATAGAGTATTTATCCTCTTGTGACTGGCTTATTTTATTTAATATATTTTCAAGGTTCATCCATGTTGTTGCAGCTGTCAGAATTTGCTTTCTTTTTAAGGCTTAATAAAGTTCCATTGTATACTACCTTTTGTTTATCCATGCATCTGTTAGTGGACAATTGGGTTGCTTTCTCCTTTTGATTACTGTGAGTAATGCTGATATGAAGTTGGGTAAATACAAATATCCATTCAAATTCCTGCTTTCAATTCTTTTGAGTATAAACTCAGAAGTAGAATTCTCAGATCATATGGCAATATCCATGTTTTACTCTTTAAGGAACCACTATACCTTTTCCCACAGTGGCTGCACCATTTTACATTCCCATAATCAGTGCACAAGGGTTCCAATTTCTCCACATCCTCACCAACACTTGTTACTTTCTTTTAGATCTTTTTTTATAATAATAGACATTTTAATTGGTGTGAAGTGGTTTTTTTCTTAAATAGATACAGTTATTTAACCCACGTTGCTATCTTACCTCCAAAGGACCTAATAAATGTTCTTTTAGCCTTGGTCCTTCTCAGAGACTTTTGACCTGTCTGTAGTTCAACATGAATTTGACATCTACGTCAGAACAAGCTGAGAACTAGGTGGGTATGCACCAACCAGTTGAGGAAGCAAAACCACACTGGAATAAGTGCTTAACAGGCGAACTGGCCACCAGATGGTTCAGAAGGGTATATGTGCATTTGAGAGGCGCAAGCAAATAGAACTTCTTTCACTATAATGCAGAAATTCCCAACATACGGTGTAAGACGAACTAATGCATCCCTCAGGCCTTACTTCACCTTCCTCTACTTTTTTTTTTAACCATTCTTTCCTGACCTCCATGTCTCCAAGATTAATCATGACCGCTTGAAGCAGGATATCATTGCTCACTCCATTTCCTGCCCCTCACTGCTCCCTTGTCTGTCTGTCCTTCTCAGTGCTGTTTTTAAAATTACTATTATTCCAATAAATCTCTGCAAGAAGATTTGTTCCCATGTTGGTTTTCCTCTCTCACCGAACAAAAGACTACAAATGTACGATGTAATCTTTTGTAATTAAATTAAGAATTAATTCCTTACTGCATGAGTGTAAACTATCTGAAGTCTAGTAGGAGTGACTCAGTCACCCACGTTGGTGGCTCTAACCAGAGTTAAGCTCTGGGTGCCCTAACTTCTTGTTCCCACTCTATTATTACATTCTTTGGGGGCATGGACTAAGTCATATACCTTCTCTTTCCCTCAATATCTTCTTCCATCAGATGGGAGCAACAGAATTGTCACTGATTATATTAAGACCTAATCTGAAGACTGCAGTCTGCTTTGAGACTTTAGGATACCTCTTATTAACATTATAATTAGCATTAAAGCTAATTTTACTTATGTAAAAATGTATTCGCTTAGGGTAAACATTAATATATGTAGGGTAATGGATTATCAGCAAAGAATGGGCAACTAAATATTTGGGACATGGTTTTATACATAATGCATGAATCCCTTCCCAATCATAAAATGTCTAGATTGGTAATACTACCACAAGAGTGTATGAAATTATTTACTATCAGTTTGTTTTGTCTTCAAGAAATTTATTAAATTTTGAAATTGGCAATGCAAGGAACTCTAAGAATTTCTAAAATCTTACTCTAATATCCCCTTTAAAGATAGTAAGATGTGCCTCTTTGAAGACTGCAAGAAGTGAATCTTCTTTGCACTCAAATTCCACAGGACACACATAAAAAAGGTTTCTGAATTCTTTCAAAGAATATTTATTTTAAGAAATTTGTTCAAAACTCTCTAGATGTGCATTTAGGAGGCCAACCAAAAACATAGGCAAACTTCTAGGCAATCCCTCTATTTCCACTTAGCATGTATAACTCTCATTCCTCAGGATCCTTTCGAAAGTACAGAGAGAAGTCCCATTCTCACTCTCAATCACTAAAGGATTGAAGTTAGAAATAATATTAGGAAAGAAAGAAAAGACCTAGAACTTCAAAAAAAAAAAAAAAAAAAGAAAGAATATTTGGAAATCCTCGGTCCCAGCCTTGGTATTAGACTTCTCAATTCTTGTAAAGAACACCCGATCTAAAGATCTTGAACTGGCTGCCATAAAATTCTAGTGTTATCTACTTTGCAAAAGCTTAAGAACACCTTACAGCAGGTAGGTCTCTTCCAAGGTATCTAAAGAATGTTATATATGCCAGAGTTTGAGGACACCCCAGAAACTATTTTGCAGATGCAGAAAATACAGCTCAGGGAGGTCATAAAGCTTGCTAGTGATAGAGTCAAGACTAAAAATGAGACTCCTGAGTCTTTATCTACAAGTCTTTCCACTCCTCCACATCACTTCCTCATCAAATCTAGCTAAGTATTATTCATTATTGCTTTTATCTGCTCATTCAGCACATTTCACTGATGAAATAAAACACATTTGAACTTACTCATTCATTCATTGAGCACTTACTATGTGCCACGCATTTTGCTGAGCATTAGGGACAGTGCATGAGTAAAACAGACAAGTTCCTGCCCTCATGAGTTTTCACTCCAGTAGAGGAGAAAGAAATTAAGCAAATAAATAAAATTTTAAGATATGCGCACAAATCCTAAGTGTTATGAAGGAAATAGGGTGATGTGATAGTTACTAGGGGAGGCCGATTTACATTGGGTGGTCAGAGAAAACTTCTCTGAATAGGTGTCATTGAGCTAAACATGAAGCATGAGGACGTGCTAGCACACAAAGAGCTGGGGGAGTGCATTGTAAGCTGAGGGGATAAGCCCGTGGCACACCTGGTGGGTCAGAGGGACAGCATGGAGGTCAGTGTGGCTGGAGTGCAGTGAAAAGGCAGAAGGAAGTATCAAGTGAGGTTACAGAGGGATCCTGGACCCAGATCGTCTGGGACCTAGAGGCCAATGTACAGGGCTTAATTTAGCTTTATTCAAAGAGCAATAGGAAGTCATTTAAGGTCTTAAGCAGGAAAGTGATGTGGTCTGCTTTAGGTTTTTACAAGACTGCTCATGACAACAGCTGGGTACAGAAGGGATTGTAAAGGATTCAGTATGAAATTAGGAAGACAAAACAGAGGCGATGGCAATGTCCGCGTGAGACAGGAAAAAGTTTTGATCTAAGGTGATGGCAGTGGGATAGAAAGAGGTAGGTAGATTCCATGTATGTTTTGGAAGTAAAGCCAATATGAGTTGGTGATTCACAATATAAGAAATATGCAGGAAATTAAGAGACTTAGTGTAACTCTTAGTTACAGGCATGAGATCATGGCAATGCTATCCAGCAAGGTGATGAATTTTGCTGTCTTTTCATGTCATCTCATAGTAAAGCCTACAAGGATATACAGCTTTGTAAAGCCAAGGACATAACTAGAAATTAGAAATATCTATGATACCTCCAAGAGAACCAATTAAATAGGTTCATCCATCTCTCCATGTGCTAAGCATGATCCCCCATCAATACTAAATAGAATGGAGAAACATGTCCCTGCATTAATTATAAAATATTGATTACAATCGGCTTACATTGGTGACTCCACATCCCTTCACTCCAGGGCTCTCCATATGCCTGCAAAATAGCCAGTGATTCACTTGCTAAGACCTTCAGGAAGCCTACAATCTTGTATAGACCCACTAGAAGGAATAAGTGAGAGAATTCTGGACAGAGTGTGAACTTTTGAATATAATTGTATAACACGCTGTCAACCTATTAACGCTGAACAAAATATACTTTACTGCCTATTTCACAGTTGCATATTTAAATGACAATTTGCTCTTTTCCTCCAGGTAATCCAGATGTACCTGGCCTCCAGAAATTAATCTATGGTAATTCTAAGAGCAACACAGGCTGAAATACAAGTAATATTGAGACATTTACTTCTGTGAAAAATTGGGAGAATAAAAACCATGGAATCTATAACAAAAATAACAAAAAAGAGATTAAATGTTAGTGAAGAAGAGCATTATGCAACTCCTAGAATACCAGTGAAACTGGAGAAAACAGGGAGGAAAGTACAGCTGTCTTCTTTGTTCAGGCCAGCTATAGCTGCGTGGAGTCTATTGTCAGGTCTTGGGTCCTTCCACAATTTGAGTACAGATGGAATAGAAAACAAGATTAAGAACTATGCCTTGACTTCTAATCCTGAGTAATATCCCAGGTTCTAAAACCAGTTTGTATGGCACAACACCAATCTCCAAGTCTCACCGGGACATTGAACGGCCTGACTTTTCCCCTTTAAGACACACAAATATGCCTAAATTACTGGAAGTAAGAATCCAAAGAAGGAAAACAGTCTAATTCCCACTACAGAAGTGACTCCATCTCCAAGATGAAGGACT